ATTCTGCCAGGGTATGTAAACTTAGGAGAACAACTGTATGTAGGTATGAATGGAAATTAGGCTGGATCTCACTGCTTTTCATGGCAAGACACACCCTGTATAGCATTCAGTTAGTAGTAGTTTGTGCCTTAATCTAACCAAAATGCGACCAGGTCCTGTGGTTAATCCATTCATTCACTGCTACTTTCTTTGAGGAGCTTGCCATTGGCACAATTTATACTATGTATACAGTTTTTTGTAAGCTCTTTGCACATCTCCTGATGACCATGGGTGCCTGACTAATCTTAACACTTGAATGCTTGGCAAGAAAAGCAATGAGATTCATAATTAGGTGGAACAAAGACACCATGTTCAAGATATATCACATGGTAGGCCGCAGAAAATGTAACAGATGAAGTGACATGTTGTTGTATACACAAAAAGCCACTGAAATCAAGCCATACTGACGTCCTGCTAAGAATGTACTGATCTGCTCCAGAGCTTCATAGACAGCCGTCTTGCTGTTGTAGGTCAGGTGGGCTCTCTCCAACAGCTCATAGATGAAGCTGAAACAGATGTAGAAGGACAAAGAGACTGTTTGAAAATCTGTATTGCAAGTGCAAGTCAAAAGGAAGATATCCACTAGAGTATTATTGTGAGATTAATACGTTTTGTATACTGTATATGTTTAATATGTAGCATAACATTTAGAGTTTTGTTGATTTTGATTCCACTGTTGTTTTTTTGTACCAGCAGCTGATCCCAGTGACAGGGGTCAACGACAAGGTTTGCTACAAATTGGCCCTAGTGCACAAGGGAGCCTCCCCTGTGCTTTCAGACCACAGAAGCTTCTCCACCAAATTAGCTCTTGTTCTTGGACCAGTTCCGTTTAGGATTCTTGGAACCTTGGTGTTATGTAGCAAATTAGCCTATGTTTCCACCAGGAACCATTGTAATCAAGGTCACGCCTGCTTTGGTTCCCAAGGAAAAAACGGCTACTTTTAGGATTACGAACCAATTTATTTTTAGTTGAAATGCTCCGAATGGTTCAAAACTAGGCTGGTTTCCTGTTGGAGGCTGTCCACATATCCAGCTGCCTGTAGAACTCCACTCCATACCCAAACATCCCTCAAATAGAAAGAGATAATATACACAATAACAGTGCAATTCAAATCTGTATTTACCATAGAGTTTGTTTTTTAAATTAAATATTAAATGTGAAATTTCGTACTTTATTTTATGTCCTATTTTACATATAGCCTATGACTTTCTGTTTAGGGTTCTGTATGAAGAATTTAGAGGCAGGCTCAGGGGGACGAACCAAACACTGGCTCTATATATGGCAATACATGATTTATGCACATTTCGCAGCCACCCTAGTTTCTCCTTCTTTTTGCACATGGAAGGGGAGGGTGAGGCAACACCACTAGATGCCTCTAAATCCTATACACTGGACCTTTAAATGCAATACTGATTTCAGGTGAAATCACCAGCCTTATTTCAGTACTTGACAGTTGATACAACAAAAGTCAATTGGCACCAACAAATACTGGAGGAGCCCTAGTCTTACGAGGCATATAAATCAAGGTGTGAATGTGCGTGGTATCTTGCATTTGGGAAGTAGTTCTGAGACTGAGAGTTTGTGCAAATTCTTATCATGGTATTGCATGTCATGGCAATCTAACCAGTCAATATCTTGATGTCCACTGAGACAATGCTGTACTTGAAACTGTTAGTAGAGCAAAAATGTTGCAATCCGCTTACTATCTACTACCACACTTTCACGTACATTCCAGGTTTCGTGATGCCTTTGTCACTTGGAACATCATAAGAATCGATGACAGCTTCCAGATCCAGCAGTATCTCTGTCAAAGCAGACAGTTAAAAATTAAAAAACCCACAGAGCATGGTAAATGGCCGAAACTAGTTTATGAGATAATCCTGGGAGACACTCAAATCTTATCTTCTTTATACCTTTAAGAATACTTACGTTTGATTCTAGCAATGGTGGCTATGTCCATTTTTAAACCTGAAACAAAAGTAATTACCAGTTGAAATTTAAAAAGTGCATATATAGAGTTGTTAAATTTTGTCTCAATCAAATGCAATATAATTTCCCCATGTGTGCAACCTCAGTGGTTGAGACAATTAAGTATTCGGACCAGAGTTGAGGGATTCTACATTGAAGTCCTCAGTGGCAGAGTCTCCATGGCTGACATCTTTAGCCTTCTCCACCAGCAGCCTGTCCACAGCATTAACGGCTGAAGCTACATCATAGAGACTCAGGTCAAATGATGTTGATTCTTCACATGTCTTCTCCTGCAGACAGCAGAAGCATCATATGATGGGATATTCTGCACTCTATTAGACCTTTAGAACTTTACTACCACATGCAAGACCACAGTCATGTCTGTCTTCAGGATCCTGAATCTGTAGTCAGGCTGAAGTCTGCAACTTTCATCAAAAATAAACACTACATCATGTTATTTTTGTGGTTTGCATTTCCACTGATGAAAATGTGCATAAAGTCATGCCCACTTTATAGTGTGTATATATATATATATATGTGTGTGTATGTTTATGTGTGTGTATTCATAAATGTAAATATATATAAAATAAATGTATCCTTACATAATTTTCAATGCAAATTATAACACAGAGAGCAAGTATGTCAGGACAGAGTTTTACCACATTGTGAGCTTCATCAAAGATGACCACAGCTCCGTTTAGCTCAATATTGTGAGCCCTGCGGCTCTGTGGAACAAGGGGAGACAACAGAATACCAGCATTTATTTGGATATGTAATGACGTAATGATGTAAAAGCAAATCTATACAATATTGTTATTGATGCTGATACATAGCACTCTAAGGATCTATTTTGGGACAAAATCACTGTGTAGGATTTAGTGCGATCTAGCGCTAAAGTTGCAGACTGCAATTATGGATATTAAACAGTTTCCAACCACAACTTAGCTACAACTCGGCGAAGTCTAAGGTAATCATCGCAGAACGTTTATTTTGTCTGTGTCTATTGGAAAAACAATAAACACAATGGCATGCAATTCTGAAATAATGCACTTGTCTTTCATTATTTCCCATGCCATAAAGACATTTGAGCCAAAACATTTGTTTTTTCATTTAGAACTTTTCATTACTTCAACTTTTAGTACAAAGGCAGGAAATAAGCTCTCCCACCTCATTTAAAGCAATCTGACATCAGTGAGTCAGCTCACCTTTGGATCCAGCAGGTAGTTGTACGGCATAAAAATGACATCTGCTTGCTGTTTCAATGAACGGGAGAGGTAGTAAGGACAGACCCTGCAGAAAAATTTTTCAGCTTTGAATTGAAATGTACAAACTGCTAAGACTCATTTCACTATTTCTGAGGGGAAATGTGTCTTTAACAACAAAGCTGCAGCACAAAAGGACATTATAACGTTATAGTTTCTAGAGCGTCACCAGAAATGTTTACAACAGCAAAGTAAGAATGGGCTTCAGGAAATTGTAATTGCAATACTTTCAATATTTTCTTTGATTTAATAATCCAAATGACCAATTGAAAAAATGATTGCCAGATTATTCTTAAAAAATATATATATTTAGTTCAGCTCTATTCAATTTTATTTGTATACCACCAACTCAGCAACAACTATACTAGTAGAGATGACTGAGCTTGGCTCCACTTAATAAGACATGAGCTCCCCTGAAAAACATGATTAAGGAAATTTTCGGGTGAGTCTCTGAAATATTGACAATAGTTATTTTTGCCATATATTTATATATTTCTGTATCTTTATCATCATAGAACATACATAAATGTAGGCTAGTATTCATCTATGATTTATGCATCAGGGTAATTCATCACTAATTATTATAAACTTCACACTGTAGCTCAAAGATCAGAAAAAAAAAAAAAAAAAACTTCATTAGTTCTAAATCGCAATTATTTCCTGAAAAAAGGGAGCTCCCCTAAAAGCCATGGTAAAGTTTACACACTGTTGGTTAAACACAATGCACCAGCTTTTCATTTTACTTCAGGACAGTGATTTGTTAGTAAATCCACCTCTGTTTGTTTCCAAATTTGACTAAGTCTTCCACATCAAGGATGGAATTCGCCAAGTCTTTGTCAGTGCTCTGCCCTAAAGAAGAAAAGATAAAAATTAAGACTTGTACAAGAGGATACAAGTAGCATTTAACATGGTGACGGCATGGTGAAAACCTATGCAGGAGACAAGGAGTCTGTGGATGCTAATACAGCTAGCGCAAGCAAAAAGACAGATATTAAACATTTTCCAGTCAATTTAGCTACAAGGTTTTTGTCTATTGGAAAATTATAAAAACATAATGACATGTAATTCTGAAATGATACATTTGTCTTCAATTTTTTTTACCTTGCCATAAAGAAAAAAAATACTTGGAATCCCTGTATGTATTTGAAGGTAAGCAATGTCACTTTTATAGCATTGGCTTATTAGGGACCGAGCCAGTAGGTGGCGCTACTATTAAGAAAAGTAGGTTTAGGCTAATAACTCCCGCATCGTTTGTCTCACATTCAAAAACCTTATATCCA